AGGTGCACGAACTCTTGACAGAAAGGAATAAAACCCCTAACGCCCGAGAGCTTTCGAAAGGTGGACCTTACTTTGTCCGAAGCAATCCCAGTTTGCCCCTAAAGAAGAAAGGTCCAACTTTCGAAAGCGCTCGGGTTATAGGGTTTTTATTCATTTCTATCAAGACTTCTTGAACCTACGTGTTTTTCTAACATCGTGATTATAACACTTAACGTGGTAATAAATAGAAAAGCCGCATTGTTACATATCAGATACATTTTTAGTACATCTTTATTATTGCTAAATAATATTAAAAGTAGTCGTTCTTATTTTAAGAAATACTACAACTAATCTGAACACGATTTACTAGATAGTCTGAAGAAACTTAAAAAAGCAAGTAATGTTTGGGAGTGTTTCTTTGTTCTCGGATATTCGCGTAAAGCTATTCGAGAGCTATCTGCACTAGCCGTCCCTAATTTTGAAGTGACTGACTAGAGGGTATAGGCAGATTATCAACAGCACTCCGGCGCCAACTGTTGTCTGATCAAATAGTGGAATTTGACAGTGACCCTCATAACGTAACCCAAAGTGCGAATCATAATTGTTTTTTTGTTTTTTTTACAGTAATAGGACGCGAACGCTGGACTCGTAAATCTATAGTCCGGCACGCTAACCTCTGGGCCACCATTTGATGTGATGTTTTAGATCTGTTGTGTATTGTTGTATTCTTCTATAAATTAAAATATCTTTTTTTTTTTCTTACCTGTGTTGTATCTTGACCAAAAATACCACATAAAAAAAACAGAGCGATTAAAATATTTAGTTTCTCTTTTGAAAAAACTGCGATTTGTATTTCAAAAACTATTATTACTTTCCCAATATCAAAAATGGCATAAACAGAACTTACGTCTGAGTGAACTTACGTTTTCGGATTTTATAAGCTACAAAGGTGCTATCAAGCAACATACATGTACTCTAATATGCAGAGAAAAGCATTGTAAAAGCTTCTTAGTCAGCGTTTTTTGTGGCTATTGTTATTGAACAAACTACTTGAAGTTTTGGTTGGGATAACTATTGAGATAAAAGGTTCTTAGATATGAACTTAAAAGTGTAAAATAGCTTGCTTTCAGCGTTGTATTGAAGCTAGTATTGTTCCTGTAGGTGGCCCTACGTCAACTGATTATGTAGAAAGATAATACGAAGTATTTGTAGTTTGACACAAGAGTTTTTGACAGTTGCAATTATCATATTTCATAAAAGTATTGAAAGACGAATCTCATGAAATAAGCAATATACGTACGGGAAAAAAAAATAGTGAAAAAATCCAGGATTCGTGAGTAGAACATATATTGTTTATCATAGCCGGTGTTATCGAAGGAACCGCATTTTTTGAGTTTTTTTTTGTGTGCGTGATTGAAATAGACAACCCTTATTATCCCCCAAAGTAAGTTTGTAAATCTTTCATCGATGTTGGTTGTAGTAGCTGTATATTTAATTGAAAGAAAAACTGGATGATGGGATTGTTGGGCTCGAAAAGTTATTGAGTTAAGATGGTGTGTTACTGAGTCAAAACTTTTCGGATTTTGATGACACTTGATGGACATATGTAGAATATTCTTCCTCACTGACCTGCCAGAAATGGTCCGTTTCTGCTTAACAGGACAATGGTCCATTTCTTTTGAGAAGGGCGGGCGTACGAACATATTTTCATTGAAGTGATTAGTTGTTTTTTTCCTTTTATGGTTAAGGTCAAAGGTCACGGAAATCTGGATAAATTTGCCAGTTTTGTCCTTAAATATATGAGCTAAAAACATGTTACCAAATAACATATACGTAGTTTAATATGTATATCAAAAAGATAGAGGAAATATTTTTGAAAGTTCTAATGTAGTTGTTTGTTTGTTTCACTAATATGAACTTGTCTTGTTGTTTGATACTTAGGTTAGGATGACTGTTTAAATCAAAGAGTTTTGGATAAATATTTAGAAGTGTAATTTATATTAACCTCAGCGCTGCGAATGTTTTTTTGTGTATGGGCTTTTCACAACTGCATTTTTACCTTTCTGGACACAATTATTTTTTTTTCGTTTCTAACTGTATATCTTTGAAATAAATTACATTAGTTAATGCTAACAAACCTCCGGTTCGTTAGAGGTAAGTCTGCGCACTTACAACGCCAAAATACCCACGGTGGACAGTGCGCGGATAGTCCATTACGTTGGAGCAAACTTGTACGTCATTAGGAAGTTCAACTTATTTTTGATAAAAAAAATATAAGAAACTCATTCATTGACGAATAAGATGTCACAAACCTAACGTTCTTTTAACGAGCATTGGTTTACGCTTCACGAAAACCCCTTCTTTTCGAAAACTTTTCCAGCTTCTACAATAGTAGAATGCACAGCTGAGTTACCGACAATGTGCTACTCTTTTTCGTCAGTTTACGACTTTCAACACGTATTCTAAGTCAACTCGAACTTATTTCTCAAATATCAACATGCAATCTACAGTACAAGAATGAGTAGTAAAATACGGTGTCTGATGGTAGTTTTGTCGAATCACCTACACAGAGAAAATAAGCTGTAGATAAACTATACTTATATAACCAACCACTTCCAACAAACTAAACCATCTAAAGTGCAGAGAAATAGTTTCTCCACTGCTTTAAGATCGTACGTGCTTACCAATACTTTACACATTCAGTATCTGTAGAGAACTGAACGTCTTATTGTGGAGAAAACCAAAGCTTTAAAGTGATAAATGAATATACGTATAAATAAAGGTTAAGGTCGGTTAATATGTGAAGTGTGTGTGGAATATCTCGACTGAGTTTCTGTTTTGAAGACTGAACATAAAATGATGGCGGTCGGTGAACTGAAATGTGCAAACTAGCTCTATACATATTATATCGCAACCATAGGTTTTATACGTCATATTTCAACAGGGGGATACACATTGAGTGGCTGACGTCATTTACAGCTTTTAAATTATGCTTGATAATTATATACCTATTACAATTCGGTACTGGTAGCACTCGTTCACAAAGGAGGTAGGCTTCGCTGGTTTTTTTAACGTGTTGAAAATGGGTAACACTTCTATAGTCCAAGACTGTATCGATACAAACATTTTATGTTTATTTACGTCCCCATTTATTGTGTGAATAGTACTTCAGTATTCCTTTAGAACCATCTCTCCGGGTTAGGACAACATATTTATTTGTTTTGTGTTTATTTTAGGAACTCCACGCTACTGATATAAGCTATCTCGGTTCTTGAATGCTAATGAGTATATTGGGTGTGATTGATGATTTTGAAACAATGTATATCTACTTAGGAAAACGTCTGTTTAAGTCAGTACGTCTAAATCACGTTAGTAACACATCTCTTCGGCACTTTGCTTTTAAATGTTGAATGTTTATAAAGCACCTAATTTTATCTCATGTAATGTTAACTTTCTCAGAGATGATTTTCAGTATAGTATTGTACTTTGAACATTATTTGAAGTACAGCTTTTAGTTCAGATCCGAGAAGAATCAGTTACAAGTGTTTCCCATTTGTTCACATTAGGGTTACGAAACACAATGCTTTATATTTGTTAAGTAAAAAAAATAATATATTTTACATATGTAAAGAAAAGGACGAATTACAGTTATAGCTATAAAAGTAAAACTAATAGCACACCTGTGTATAAAAGCGCAGGTAAGACAATAGGTATGAGCTCGAAAAGTTAAAGTTTATGAAGTAAATATGAAACTGAAATACTAGGTTAAAAGGAAGCATGATTACACTTTCAAAGGAGTCAATTAACACGATTAATTAATTAACACGATTAATTAATAGGTAAATTTTGAATCGTGATTGCAACTTTTGCCGTTTCGTCATCTTTTAAAATGGGAATAATTTAACAAAATTCTTAAATCAAAGAAACGTTCGAGCTTTAATTATGATATCGATATTCAATTCGATAGTTTATGATGTGATGAAATACATCTTAATTTTCAATGATACAATTTTTTTGTGGTCCCTCTCAGGTGGATTGAGCTATTCTTTAACATTTCCCCCCATAAAAAAAAATGTATCTAAGTAGCGAAGATAAATTTAAAGAAATTAAACAAATTTTACCAAATATCTACAACAAAGGAACGGTGTGATATAAAGCTATAATGTGTTTCACCTGGAGGATGTTTTTTTTTGTTTCTTTTTTTTAAGAAAAGGCATAAATGTACGGGACAGTGGTTGGGTGGAAACATAACCTTGATTTTATGAGGAAGTAAATAAAAATAATTTGTCAGAGCGGTTTTACGAGCATTTGCTAAGACTCATAAACGTAGAGATATCCAGTCGGTACGACGAGTAAAAAGGGTATATAACGATAGAGGTTAGTATGCAGGATAAGTAAGTACATATGTGTTGGTGGTAGAGCCGTATCGTCATATGTCTCAAATAGTTTCTTAAGCTCGAAGTTATGTTTGAAAATAAGAAATGAGAAATTTTCCTGAAAGAAAGAAAAAAAATGGGTGGTATTTATAACAAAACCGGGTGGTATAACATACCAATAGCATACTCCACTTCAGGCACTTGCTTATCATTGCCGCCATTTCTCCACTGGATGACTCCACGCTTCTTCACTTACACGTTTCCCCGTGCTGGAAAGAAATACAGATGGTTGTTGTCACTAGTGGTGAAAGTGAATGAAAAGATTTAATTTAATTACATGTCTTATCATTGATTGATTTATGAAACGTTAACAAGTTGTATTGGAGAAGGGGGAAAAAAAGGGAATCAAACTGCAAAGGTAGGCTTAGCATCTTCGGTAACATCCGTAGTATTTTTGAGTGATTTGTATGAGAAGTACTATAGTTGAAGAATTAATATAAATAAGTTTATATATTAAAATATGTATAAGGTATAAGATGTATAAAATGTATATAATGCCCAAATACTAAATAAGCTGGGCATGTAAAAATGGTTGTTTGCATCGTAAATTATCAAGTACTTGTTATCATTAGTTAAGCCTAATCTGTAAACATTACGTATATATATATATATAAATGTAAGAAATTATTTATATGAGCTTTAAAAAGGTAAATATTTACAAACTGAAATAGTCAGAGCTCAGATCAAATCACAATCCATTGTATAGTTTGTTTTGAATTTCGCTCAAAGCAACTCGAGGGCTCTTTGCGCTCGCCTTCCCTAATTTAGAAGTGATCGACTAGAAGGAAGGAAGCAAGTCAACACCATCCACCGCCAACTCTTGGGCTACTATTTTTACCACCGAATAGTGGGATTGGCTGAAAGGGCGAGCATGTTCGAAGATGGGGATTCGAACCCGCGACCCGCAGATTGTGAGTCGAGCGCCCTAACCACCAGGCCCATTACAGGCTATACCAGGCCCATTACACTCGACAGAACTCTCAGGACACACACACACACACACATCTGCTTAAAATTAACAATAAACATGAAAACGTTTCAAACAATAACAGTATAGCTAATTGAAGTGTATTGTTTTACATGATTAATTTGTTATCTATTTTAAATATGCCAGACAACAAGTCATGTAAATAAAAGAGACAACATATTGATATGTATATTAACTTTTAAATCACACTCAAGAGAACAAACCGAAAAAGAGAACTCAAGTTAAAAGCCCTTTTAAAATCAATTGTCAAACTTTGTTTTTTATTATCGGTTTCGCATACATATTTTAAACAACCTAATCCAACGCGTTTCAGTGTTATGGTATTTACAGATAAAACTTTGCTTGTTTGTTGTTAAGCACAAAGCTACACAATCGGCTAATTTTACTGTGTCCATCACGGATATCAAAAGCCTTACCGCTGACCACTGAAGGGCTATAGAAGTATAGACGAACGTCCTTAAATACGTTTGAATATATATATATACACGCAACAAAATATAGTAAATTTAACTAGCCTAACTGAACGACTTAGTTATAAGAAGCTGAAATGAAAAACATTTGGGTTTGCAAAGTTAAAATGTATACGTAAAGAAATTATGTTTGCTTTTTTCAAAATGAACAGCAGTTCATCAGTGCTTTTTAATGAACTTAGTAATAGTTAATATATTCCTGACGATTGCATAATTATTCTTGATTATATTTATAAAAAACAAAAAAAAGTCTAACGAGAATGCGACTGTTTTAATCTATCTACTAATAGAATACAATAGTCGCCTGCTAGTACACAAAAACGTCTAACAAGAATACGACTATTTTAATCTAACGTCTAACAAGAATGAGACTATTTTAATCTACTAATAGAATACAAAAATCGTCTGCTAGTATACAAAAACGTCCAACAAGAATGCGACTATTTTAATCTACTAATATAACACAATAGTCGCTTGTTAGTACACAAAAACGTCTGACACGAATGCGACTATTTTAATCTACTAATATAACACAATAGTCGCTTGTTAGTACACAAAAACGTCTGACACGAATGCGACTATTTTAATCTACTATTATAACACAAAAATCGTCTGCTAGTATACAGAAACGTCCAACAAGAATGCGTCTATTTTAATCTACTAATAGAACACAAAAATCGTCTGATAGTATACAAAAACGTCCAACAAGAATGCGACTATTTTAATCTACTAATATAATATAATAGTCGCTTGTTAGTACCCAAAAACGTCTAACACGAATGCGACTATTTTAATCTACTAATATAACACAAAAATCGTCTGATAGTATACAAAAACGTCCAACAAGAATGCGACTATTTTAATCTACTAATATAACATAATAGTCGCTTGTTAGTACCCAAAAACGTCCAACAAGAATGCGACTATTTTAATCTACCAATAGAACACAATAAAAACTATTATCACTGTTATAAAATTATCCCATTCAATTCCTATACGCATTCAATTCCTTATAATATTCCTTTCCACTGAAACAGAAAACCACAAATCTAAAATCTATATTAAAATAACATTGAGATACTTAAAGCGAGATACATAAAGCGAGGCACAATTAGAATTCGTTAAGTTTCATTCCGTTTGGAACTTCAGTGCAAGCATTGCTGGCGCTTGGAAAACCTATGTATGACACTTTATGCTTTGTAAAAGTCTATAAACTGCACGTGAATATAGCTGGAAACTGCTTTCAACAACCGGAAACGTTGTGGAATATTATAGTGTTCAATTTTGCAGACATTGTATAGTCATATCATCTAGAGTTGATCTACGATACTGTTCCAAATACCAGGGTAAAATTTATTTTAATAAACAGTCGATTGTAACTGTAGTATCCTTCGGTGAGACAGCGGTAAGTTTATGGCGTTACAACACTAAAATCCGAGGTTCGATTCACCGCGGTGAATAGAGTGCATATAGCCCATCGTGTAGCTTTTCTGTATGAAAACAACGACATTATAGCTAGTATATACACTATGTGAAACTTTGAAATCTGAAATTTTATGTAACAGGCGTTCGTGACGTGAAATGGCGTACATTAAAATATGTGAATATATTATTTTTAACGTGAATAATTTATTGAAATGGCGAATGTTTACGTAAGGAAATATTTTATTAAAATGGCGAATGTTTACGTAAGGAAATATTTTATTCAAATGGCGAATGTTTACGTAAGGAAATATTTTATTAAAATGGCGACTGTTTACGTAAGGAAATATTTTATTACAATGGCGAACTGTTTACGTAAGGAAATATTTTATTGAAATAGCGAATGTTTACGTAAGGAAATATTTTATTAAAATGGCGACTGTTTACGTAAGGAAATATTTTATTACAATGGCGAATGTTTACGTAAGGAATATTTTAATTGTAAATAGCGAATAGTTTACGTAAGGAAATGTATGTACTTAAACAACTTGAAAAGTGC